AAAAAGGAAAATGCAGATCATTTTACTCTATCCAAGGAAAACAGATTTACGCACCAATATAACTAAAGAGCCAACACCCCGTAGAAGTGGGGAAAGCTGTGGGAATGCTCTGTCACCAACAGCCCGGGCTGCTCTACATCACTCCCATGTTCCACGGGGAAAGGAAGAAAGGGTGTACAGCATCATCCCTGAACCAGCACAAGCTCTCTCAGGGGCCCTCTGCACAGCCAAAAAGACATTTTAACCAACATCATTCTGCGAGGTGTCATGGGGACTGAGGAGGTTCTGCAAATCTGCTGCAGCGACAGCCAGCTCTCTGGGGAAAAGCCACCCAAGTGTCCTCAGTGGGGCAGGTTTCACGCACTGGGCAGGCATAAATAAATAAATAAATAAATAGAAATAGGTGTTTTCTGATGGGAACCTCAGAGCTCTGCTTTCAAACGCAGCACACGCATAACTAAACTGATGCACAATAACGGACGGAATAATGCGAAAGCCGAAGGGGGCTTTTCCCCCTTTGCGCTTGGAGCTGAGCATGGAAACAGTTAAGTCCCCCACTGAATAAATCAAAAGTTCAAGGCTGCAACATACCATGCCATATTCCCCCTCTGCCCATGACAAGAACCAGAGAGCCCCCGAAATCCCAAGCATCCTGCGCAGGGTCTCGGCCGGCGCTCACAGGTTACACGCTCGGGGTCAGCGCCGTGGACCTTAGCTGCAACATTCATTTCCTGAGCAGGGCACGTCCCCCTGCCCATAAAGCTAATAAGAGCTTCCTCGCCCGGCCGCCCCGCGCCGCGGCCCGGCAGCCGGGAACGCTGGTTTCCATTAGCCCCTTATGATGCCAGGTGCCGCTAATAAGGCCCATCAGCAAGAAACAAGAGCTGCCAAGTCGTCCTCGGACTCTGGAAGTAATCATGGTCAGAGTTTGGGGGGCTGCTGCTTTTGCTTTTCCTTCCCTCCCTGCCTTGCTTTTCCATTTTTTCTCCTTTTCCTAAAATTTCCATTGCTGTGGAACATAAATTGCTGAATGCTTAAAATAAAATAAAAAGCAACTACTGTATCCGGCTACCAAAATTAACACTAATAACATCTCACAAAGCACTTGGGATCCGATTTATCACGTTTATTGCTTTAATGGTACACTGCATCTGTTTCTCACTGTGACATGCCAAGCAGTGCCAACGTGCCTAATGGCATTAGCAGTACAACACTCAGCTAATCCAGGCGGAGACAGGGGAGGTGAGGCTGACAGAGGAAGGTGAGGCTGGATCCCCATGGGAAGTTGCAGTTTTCCCAAGCAGGAGCACCTTCCACCCAAACTCATCATACGGGGAGCATTCACCCACCTCTGGCCTCCACCGGCCTCCTGACACCATCAGCACAAAGCACTTTCATTTTCCAGCCCAGCATCCCCATCTCACAGGGACACACGTGGCGAGCGCTGCCAGCAGCCGCATGGCTGTGGCGGGTGAATTCCCGGGCAGCACCAGGTGGGATGCTTGGCTGTGCCACAAATGAACTGTATGGAAGCCCATCCCCACCTGCAGCCTTTCCAGTCACTATCGTTTCATAAAAGACATGGTTTAATTTTGTTAAAGTTCTAAGGTATTTAACTTCCCAATGACGAATTACGCCAGGCTCTGTTGGCAGCTCAGCACGGCTCTCACCTCACAGCTCGGAGGGTTTCCTTCACAAAACAACCCCAAAAAGGGCTGCTGAACTATGGCTTTTTTGTCTGCAATTAGAAGCGACGATCGATACTAACATTAGATTAAGTTTGAACTTCGCTGAACCCAGAAGGAAATCTTTTATAAAAAAAATTAAAGACTCGCCGACTCAATCTACACTCAATTAGTCAAAATCATAAGCTTGGTAAAGGATTAAAAAATGGATCATGCAGCAGCCAGCGGGTTCAGGGACCCAAAAAACCTGACCAGAGCCAGTGCCGAGGCTTGTGGCCACTCGGCCACCAAAAGGTCACAGCTCAGCACTCCTGGGTACGACACAGCACAGATGATGCTGCCACGAGGCCGAGGAGCCGCACACGGGGCCGGGGCACATGACTGTCCCTTGGGCACTGTCTGTCACCCAGCGCCAGTGGCCCCCTGTGCTTGCCAAGGCCAGGTTGACCCTCTGCTCTCCCTTTTCTGCACATGCTTCCCATACTAATGAAGATAACACTCAGAAAGCTCCAAGACTATAAACATATATATTTACACTTCTATAGGCATGTGTGTGTGTAAACAAACAGCCCCACCATATGCATGGGCTGCCTGTGTGCTGTAAACAGGCTCGGCACACACTGGCTCATGGAGCTCCCTGCGGGAAGAGTGGCGTCGGCACTGGGTGGCTTTGGGCTCTGTCACCTGCTGGGTGGAAGCTGCCACGCCGGGCAGCCAAGCACCCCACAGAACAGCAGGATACCCCCTCCCCAGGAGCTGCTCCCAGCCCCCAGCTCACCGCAGCTGGGAACAGCTCTGCTCGGGTACCTCCACGCTCACGTCAGGGTCGGAAAGCAAAACCACAGCAGCGAGTGCACGGCAGAAAGAGGTCAGCGAAAGCCAACAAGCGACACCCCGGTGCCCCCGGCACATCCTGCCCCCACCGCCGGATTTCTCAGGGAGGTGGTGTCCAGACCCCCGTGTGGGACACAGATCCCCCAGATCCCCCGTGCACCAGGCAGTGGAGCGAAGAGGAGCCCACCGCCAGCACAGTGCAGCTGCCACCAGAGCTGCTCCGGCAGAGAGCTGCAGATCCCAATCCAGCGCAGATGCTGTTTAACAGCTCCATGAATACAATAGGATCCCACAAATCCTTTCCCAATGGTAATTCTCACAATGTATTAGAAAGCAAACACTATAAAAAAACCACATGAGACCCTATCTACACACAAACCACCTGGGTATTAGACTTTGGGGGTGGGGGTGAGTTCATTGGACTGTTGCCCAATGCCTTTCAACATGGACGGTCTAACATATCAGTTTAAACACGGCTCAAAGGATTTGGCTCGCCCTGCAAAGTTTGCCAGCGCCAGGTAATCGGTCTGAAAGCAAAAACAGGCAAACAGAGTTTGGCACTGGCTTCAGCAGCTGCCTTCAAGGTTCCGCTGGCAGGGGCCAGTGCTGAGCTCCGTGCAGAACTCGAGACCCTCAGAGCACGGTTGTGCCCAGTCTCCCGATAAGGATCATGAATAAGTGAGAAATAAGCTACGGCTGCAGCCACGGCTGTCAAAACAAGCCGAGCCCTGGAAGGCACTGTGAAATAGGGACTGTCGTGCTGGACAGCTGGGTCACGCTCCCCCATCTCCCGACTGCGCGGGGAAGGATCTGCCCGCGCAGCCTTCCCTCCTTCTGGACACATCCACCCTCGGCGACAGGAGCCCCCGGGCAGCCCCAGCATCGCCCTCTCCTGCGGCCGCAGCAGTCGCTGCTATGGGCTTGGAGGGGGAAAGGGAGAGGCTCGAGACCGTGGCAGAAAGGCACGTTAAAATTCTCCCTGAGCCCTCACTGCAGCTCTCCCGGTGACGTTCGGTCTGCATCACCGCACGGCCGAGGCAGCTTCGGGCACGTAACCAACGCCAGCCCCAGCTCTGCCGCTCACGAGAGGGGAAACAAAGCCGAAAGCGGGTGTGCACCCACAGGGAGCCGGGGATCCTGCGAGGGGCGAAGGCTGTCCCGGCAGGGTCCGTGCGGCAGAGCGAGGGGCGATGCTGCCGGCGCTCGCAGACCGGCGCGGGCTGGGGATCCGGCACAGCGCTGCTGCCTGCACCACCGCGTTCGCGGGCTGAGCGTGCGGGGAGCCGCCGCTCCGGCCCGGCCGGGCCGGCCCGCCGCGCCGCGCGGCGCGCGCCGGCAGCCACCGCAGCACGGCAGCAGGCTCGCCCCCCAGAGGCGCGTGCCGGCACGGCCACCGGCCCTAAGCGCCTTGTGTGCATCGGGACTAATTAACCTGTTGATTCATTAAAAATCTGTCAGGGTGCACTGCCCGGGGAGGCAGGGATAAGCTCCGGCACCGCGCCGGTGCTGCCTTCCCCAGGCAGGACGCTGCCGTCCTGCCGTGGGGCTGCAGCCACGCTGGGGGCCAGCACAGCGCTCGCCAAAGCACGTCCGGAGCCGTGGGATTTGACCGGCGCAGCCGATTTCGGCGTGGTAATTATCGTGGTCCCCCTTCCCCAGCTAAATCGGAAAACGAGCTCTGGTTCCCGAATCGCGACCAGGAGGCGGTAAACAGCAAAGCACCGAACTCACGTGTCAGTAACCACCACCACGCTCCCACCCTGCAGCAGGTCCCCGGGGTGCAGGGCTGGGAGTGAGCACACAGATCCCCCCACCCTGCGTGGGGGAGCCCCAAAACTGCACCGACAGCCTTTGGAGGTTCAGTCCCGCACCCATCCCCGCGGCTCTGCAGTTGCCCGAGCCCTCGGTGCTCGCCCCGGCATCACCCAGCCTGACCGCCGCGCCACTTTGCACGAAGTGCAAATGTTTCATAAACCTGGAAGCCGAGCAGCACAAATTCCCCCTGGCAAGTCACTACAAGCCGCAAGCCCGAGTGCCACCGCTGCCTGTGCTGGTGTGCCCGGCCGCTGGCACAGGAGGGACCAGCTCTCAGCACAGGGTGGGTGAGAACTGCCCGACCCCACAGCATCTCTCTGCATACAGATCCCTGAACTCAAAGGGTGGCAACTGTGAGCTGCTTGGCTGATGCCAGCCAAGGAAACTGATGGAGTCTGTGCTAGTGGGAAACACCAATGGCCCCAGCCCCATCCGGGCTGTCCTCCCCAGCAAAGCGCTCACTAGAAGGAACCTTCTGGCACAGTTGCCAGACCTGGGGGAGCTGCAAGAGTCATTCCTCTGAGCACACTACTCCACAGCCTAGTTTTAGGGTACGCGGCAGAAACTTTGCTCCAGCACACACAGAACGCCCAGTCAGAAACTGAAACCCTCTGGCAAGATCCAGGCTGCCCGGTGCAGCATGAACAGCACGGCCTCGGCACTCACCTGTGCTGCTCGAGGGTCTCGTTGTCCGGCAGCTCTGCCCCGCACACGCTGCACTGCTCGCCCAGGGCTCTGCTTTCCGTCTTCATGCCAGCTGCCAGCTCCCCCAGCTTGCTGAACAGCTCCCGCTGGATGAAGCCTTGGGGCAACAGCCCCCCATAGGCACTGAAGTCCATGGAGACAGCCAGGGCCGGCTGCACATGCAGGGCGGACGCCACGGTCGGCGGCACGCCGAGCACCGGCTCAGTCTTGTGGTTCGGCAGCAGCGAGTAGATGCCCAAGGGCTTCTCACCTGGGGTGGCAGCGGATGGCTCCGGCCCCAGTGGCAGCCCCTGACCGGGCTCGGGGGGCGGCTC